GAAAGAGAAAGGGATTGAACAAGATAAGAGTCGTCCGTGCGCGCCGAACGCTCAGGAAAGCGGTCCGAGGTAGTTACGTTCAGGCACCAAAAATGTAGTTAGAGACATCGGATCTTTTTGAAATTTTAACACAATATTTCTACATATATATACATTCGAAAAATGTAAAAAAAAAAAATAAAATTTTTTTAAATTGCAGAGTAGAAGGTCCCTTTAAGTATTATATAATATATATATATATATATAATTATAAAATAATCATTAGATAATATTTAAAATCACATTATAACAATATTTAATGATATAATTGTAGATATCAAAAAGGAACAAAAAAAAAACAAAAAAGGGTGGATGATAGTTTAGGTGTAGGGTGGAAAGAAAAGGAAAGAAAGGGAAGAGTAAGGGAATAAGAAGAGTGTAGATAGTGAAAAAAGAAAAAAATATGTTGAATAGGTTTTTGTAATAACGTAGGTTGTTTAATCGAGCAAATCCGAGAGTGCAGGTAAAGTGGGTAAACGATAAAAGGAGAAACGTCTCTCTCGTTCGTTGAATAAACGAGAGACGGGTTTCTTCTCGTGTATTTATCTCTTATCTCGTTTAGCATATACTATTTATCGTACTTAGCATAATCCATATCGAGCACTGGGTAGACGCAAGTGTATTCGAGACACGATTTCGTTTTTTCTTTCCATTAAAATGGGCACTCACTTACATTAGTGTAACTTACATTAAGGTTACCTTTTTCCAAACCCTCTATTTCTATCCTATTCTTATACCCTTTTTTCTTATACATATACATATATACATTATAAAGTATTCAATCTAAATATATAAATATATATAAATATATATATAAAGTATTTTAATATTTAATTTAAATAATTGTATTGTATCTGTTATATAAGAAAAATTTGTTTATTATAATTTTATTTTTTTTATTAAATTAAAAATATATTATTTTTTTTCGATCACTAATTGTGTGTTTTTAATTTGGTTGTAATTTTTTTATATATATTTTAGTATTAAATCTATAATAAATAATTGTATTGTATCAATATATTTGTTATATTATACTTAATAATATAATACTATTAAATAATTACTTAATAATATATAATATAATACTATTATACAATAATATTATATTAAGTAATATTAATTATTAGTGACAAAGGTATTTTCTAAGTAAAGAAGTATATAAAAGTATCAAGGTATTTATTATATAACAAATCATTATTTTATTTTATTTATTAGATTTAAAAATATATTATTTTTTAGATCATACTCTTTGTGAGTTACAATTTGGTTGAAATTTTTATACATGGTTTTTTTTCTTTTCTATTTTTAATTTAAAATATTATTAACATAAAAGAAATAAAGTAAACTCTTTATATACAGTGTATTTCTTAAACAGATGAAGATTTCTATTTATTATAAATTTATTTTTATTATTATACAAATGTATAAAAATACAACGAGGTTCAATTAAAGATTTTTATTGCGTATTTTATTTAAATATTATAAAAATAATTGTTGTTCTACATATTGTATAATACATGAGGAGTTCAATGCAATCGTAGATTTGGATTTTTATTACTCGATGAGATAACTTTGTTGTAGCAATCCAAATTGATTTTCTTTCTTTCTTTTTTTTTATACATGACAAATATATGTGAAAACTAAAGTGTACCTACTTTAAGAAAACATTTTTAGGGTTCGGTCAAATTGCGAATTTCTGTAACCTTTGAGGATCGAGTAAAAGAGAGATAGTTATAGAGAGGGAGGGTGGGTTGGTGGGTGTGTAAAGGGGGAAGAGAAATAGAAGCATCTCGAGAAACGGGAAGTAAAACTCTGTCCAAATTGCGCAATCCCTCTATTTTGGTTTTCTTATGGCCACAACTTGGCTAAGTTCCCAAATTGGGAATGTCTTTTAGCTTTGGGAAGTTCATTTCAATTGATGACTCTCTCTCTCTTACTCTCTCCCTTTTTTACCGACTGAGACTTAATCGATCGAAAACGAGTTTATTTGATTTGTCCGACATTGTATTAATTGATTTCTCATTCATTTTTGTTCTTCTTTTTCATTTGTTTTAAACAAATACATTTTTAATCTCCATTTATTATATATCCATTTAAATATTATAAAAAATAATTTCTTTTTTATTTGCCAATAATTAATAAAATTACAATTAATTATTATTTTTGTTTACAATGTCTTCTTCTCAAATGAATTCAATTAATTGTATTTATATATTAAATTATATTATATTATATTATTTATTTATTATTATAATATTTTTAATATTATTATTATTATTTATACGTTATAATTATAATAATAATATTATTATTATTATTATTGTTTATACTTATTCTTTTTTTCATAGCCATATTAGCAATTTTTTTCTATTAAAATTTTTGTACAATTAACAATTTTGTGTACACATGTGTGTTTTTTATTTTTTATTTTATATTTTATATTTTATTTTATATTCTTTTTCTATTATTATTTAATTTCAGTCCACCAACGTTTAAAACCGCAACACCGACGTCGCGTACGCAATTGAAATTGCAGTTGATGCGAGAACAGTTGCAAGAACAAGAAAGACGTGAAGCTGAATTTCGGCAAAGCTTGCAACAACAAAGACCAGCAGCTGCACATCCCAGGCCTGTACCTCCTACACCTTTGTCTACCATTGGCGTCGATGTACCACCACAAGTTTTACAAGTTAGTCAATTTCATTATCTTCTTTTCAATTGCATACATATAACACCACGTCAATTTTTACGGAAATTTTCGTCAGGCCACGTTTGACAAAACGAAAGGTTTGAGTAATTGAAACGTCAGGCACCGGTGCCTGACATGGCCTGAACGGGAAGTTCAGTGTCAGTCACTTTTGACTGACGTGGTACTCAACGTATTAATTGCAATTTTATTTCTTTTCTATTTGTTTTTTTTTTTTTTTTATAATTGTAATCAAATTTTCATTAAATAAGACTCAAATAAATTGATGAATTTGTGTTATCGAATTAATGTGAATTAATTAATGATTGTGGTGAATGTTTTTTTCATTTTCAGGTGAGAACGTTATTGGAAAATCCAACGAGGTATCACGTGGTACAAAAGCAAAAAAATCAAGTAAGACAATACCTTCAAGAATCCTTTCGTGGAATTGATTGTGGTGGTACAGGAGTAAATAATGGATTATTGGGTAGTGTTGGTAACGATAGTAGTATCGGTGGTACACCGATTGATATTGGTGTGATACCAGTAACAACAACAACAACAACAACAACAGCAGCACCGATTGTACCAATGGTGGTACACAGTGCACCACCAGGACCAACGGTTCATCATCAAAAACCACAGCATCCACATTTAGCTTCTTATCCACGTGTACCAGGAATTTTGTCTCATGGTAATCCTGTATCAGCTAGTCCAGATCCAACAACTGGTGCCATGTCTCCAGGACTTTCAAGTGTTGCTACGAGTAATTCTGAGGTAGGCAAGAATTTCTGGGTTTTTTTTTCTTTTTCTTTTGGGTATGTTGATTAAAATGTGTCTGTGTTTGTTAAAAAACATTGATTTTTTAATTTTTATTCTTAATTGTAATTTGTTTAAAATATTATTTTATTTGGTGGATTATTTTCATTTGTAAATCAAAGGAAATATTTTGTATGCTAGGTAATTAGGGTATATGGGGTTTTTTTTTTAAAGCACTCATTTCACTACTCACTGTAAAAATTAAGTATTATTTTGTTATATATATATTATTTTCATTTGTAATTCAAAGAAAATATTTTGTATGTTAGATAATTAGGGTATATGGGTTTTACTAGGTTATGTTTTTTTTTAAAGCACTCATTTGACTATTCACTTTAGAAATGAAGTATTTTTATTTCTAATTGTAATTTGTTTAAAATATTATTTTATTAGGTGGATCATTTTCATTTGTAAATCAAAGGAAATATTTTCTATGCTAGCTAATTGAGGTATATGGGTTTTACTAGGTTATGTTTTTTTTTAAAGCACTCATTTGACTACTCACTGTAAAAATTAAGTATTATTTTGTTATATATATATTATTTTCATTTGTAATTCAAAGAAAGTATTTTGTATGCTAACTAATTAGGGTATATGAGTTTTACTAGGTTATGTTATTTTTTTAAAGCACTCATTTGACTACTTACTTTAGAAATTAAGTATTTTTATTTCTAATTGTAATTTGTTTAATATATTATTTTATTAAGTGGATTATTTTCATTTGTAATTCAAAGAAAATATTTTGTATTCCAGATAATTAGGGTATATGAGTTTTACTAGGTTATGTTTTTTTTTAAAGCACTCATTTGACTACTCACTGTAAAAATGAGGTATACATTTAGTGTTGTTAGGTTTAATTTTAATACGAAAATAAATATCACTAGGAATATGTTGGTTAAAAGGGTTGTAACACATTTATTTCTAGAATAATTAGAATATAACGATGATTTAATAATATTATCAATTAAATTTGTAATATTATGTAATAATATTTAGATTTTATTGATGAAATTTCAATGTGTTGTGACGTTTAAGTTTATAGTAATTTTAGTTAAATTACATTGATTGAAATTTTCCAAACGAAATGATGGGCCCAAAACCATTATATTGATTTTGTATAATATATATATATAGCAACATTTACGAGAGTTAGTTTCGTAATTTGAAATATTAGGATCGGTAAATCATTTCCTATCCTACGATATATATTTGAATTACATATATACATATATAGATATACATAGATCATTTGTGGTTACGATTTGAAAAGCTTTGCTTGCGGTTTCTATCAATTTTAGTTGCATAGATTATTTCAATAGAAATCTAATCTAGTCTCTTTGTTTGTTTTTTTATTTTTATTTTATTTTTGTTTTTAGATAAATCATGCAACAAATTTTAACATTTTTTTTTTTATAAGCTCTTGTGTATTTTTTATTTATTAAAATAAATATTTAAAATTAATTACTATTTTAATTAACATAATTGAAATTATAAATATAATTAATATTAAATATATATAATATATAAAATTTATTATAATATTTATTATAATACTAATATATTATATTTATATTATATAGATTTATATAAATAATTTTATAATATTTTATATTATATATATATATATTATAATATATAATATTATATTATTATATTTAGTATATATTTTTATAATATTTATAATATTTATTATTCTATAATATTTATTATAATTTTATTAAATATATAATATTTATTATATATGTTTATAATAAAATTAGAATAAAATTAGAATAAATTAGAATAAATTTGTAATACAAATTTTTTTATAATAAAACACAAATATTTATTCTATTAAAATACAATATATATATTTATTTATACTTATATAATTTAATTAATTTTTTTTTTTTGGTTAATAAAATAATTAATTGAATCGAAAATAAATTAGAAAATTATTATTAATTATTAATTATTATTTAATATAAATAAAAGAAGATAATATTTATGAAGTATAAATTATACAATTGAAATCTACACAATTTCATATAAAATTAATAAAATAAAACCAAGAGAACAAGGAATCCAAAAAAAAAAAAACAAAGAAAAGAAAGGTACACAAAATGAGTACATGCAGGTAGATATTTAAAAAAAAAAAAAAAAACGTAGATATTTCGTTCCACTTTCTAACATAAGTAAATGTTTTTTTTTCTCTTTCTTTCTTCTTCTTCTTCTGCTTCTTCTTCTTTTTCTTCTTTTACCGATAAGAATACATTCGAGTTTGAACGAGGGAAACAGTAAAAATGAATTCTTTTTTTTTTTTTTTTTTTTTTTCTTTTATTTACGAGCTTTACACACATACGTTAGAACATTTCAAAGATCATCGTGAGAATGACGTAATACACCTGTACACAAATACGCATATATTATACCTGAGTACACAACATGTATACGTATATGTACTACGTGTACATTATCAACTAAAAGTACAAATAAATTTCAAACAAGAGATTCAAGAGTTTTTTTTACAATAATTAAAATATCTTATTCAATTTTTTTTTTTTCAATCCATCAATCAATCTATCAATCAATCAATCAATTAAATTATATATAAACTTTTATGATAATAAAAATTATAATATAAAAAATACAAATATATATATATTTATAATAATAAAATATATTTTATTAAATCTCTATAATTTTTTAAATTTTAATACTAAATCTATATATTATAGGTTTAATATAAAATTGTTTATATATTAAAAAAAAACTGTAATATTTTAATATTTAATATTTTAAAAATTTAATTTAATTTTAATAATATATAATTTATTTTTGAAAAATTAAATAATAAATTAAATAATTTATTATATTTAATTTAAAAATTATTATTTTAAAATAAATTGAAATATTTGAAAATTTTAATTATATACTGTATTATTATATAATATATATTAAATAACACTATAATAAAAATTAGTTATTATTAATAAAATAAACTATTATAGCATATAATGATACTGAAAATTATAATAAGATATTATAATTATAATTATATATATTACGATTTTTATCTTTTACATATGAATAATTAACTATTCTAATATAATCATTTTCAAATATTTATTATTATAATATAAATTTTATTTATTATTATTATACTGTACATATAACAAGATTGAAATGAATTTAATATACATGTTTTACTGTGATAATGTTAAAAATACTTATTTAGTCTAACAATTATCTACATTTAAATAAACATAAGTTATCTTCTGACTGTGTCATCTAAGTCAGTCAGTTAGTCAGTTAGTCAGTTAGTCAGTCAGTCAGTCAGTTATTTAGTCAGTCATTCAGATAGTCTGTCTCTTGATCTAATTGTAAGCAATTTACACACTGTTGTAAGATCGTTTGGTTGGTTGTTTGTTTCATATCTTTGATAAATGAGGAAGATAGTGTCTCTCTTTGGTTGTGATGAATGTGTGATGTGTGTGTATGATGTGTGTATGTATACTTTGGTGTATTCTATCTTTGTCAAAAACCCTTGGGAATGGGTTACGCAATCTTTGTAATCTGGGACGTATTATATGTTATCATGTGTATCTTTGTGTAACACGTTTATATATTGCATTCTCATATTAGTTTACTAAAGAGAATATATGTATATAACACTTACTTACTCTTTATAAACTTTATTATGTTAACACATATTGCATTATAACTATGAGATATGTATTTGATTTTTAGAAACATATGTTGTAAAATTTATTAACTTTTTTTTTTTAATAATTAAGGGACAAAAAAAACAATATTTAAATATAAATAATATAAATAAAATATAATTAAAATATACTATATATTATTATATTAAGGGGACCTTCTACTCTGAGCACCTAAAAAAAAGGCTATTTTCGCGAATTTTTTCCAA